ACGCCATCTGCTGGCCCCAAGGACTTCAAAAAATTTTGAACACCAAAAAATAAACCTCATACTTTAATTCCATTTTTTTTATAAACTTTGAAGATTTTTTTGTATACCAGGTTGCTGAGACTGGTGAAATAAGCACTTCTGTGTATTTTAACAGGAATATAAATTGGTATAACTTTTACGAACCATATTGAGCACTATATATCAAAAGGATTACCATTGTTGTGTGAGGCCAAAGATATATATTCATACTTTTGATATATAGTGCTCAATGTGTGTAACATAAACATAATATATGTGGTAATATGTTTATCCAAAGCTCAAATCTTGGGGATCATCAAAGAATATATTGAAGGAAAAAAACATAAGAAATACAATGATTGAGACAAAACTTCAACAAGTATTCAAACTGTACTCAACAGCAGAGTCTCCAATTTGAAGAGAACTCCTGAAGCATAGTTGTGGCAAATCCTTTAATCAGTGTTTATACTTCTCTTTATATCAGCATACATCTACATCATTGTAAGAAACACACGGATGTGTGGTCAAGTATATCCAAAGTACAAATCTTCTGGAGTGTCAGAAATTATACTATGGAGAAACTTTACAAGTATAATTAATGTGACCAGCTTTATAAAAAGTTTATACCTTGGGACCAGCAAATGGCACAATGATTACGTTGCTGGACTTGTAGTTGACTGCAGTTTGAGCCTTGGACCCAGCGACTTAAAACTCATGCTAGGTGCATGTGCACATGTTCTCAAAATCCTGAGAAAAGAATGAAGGAGAAGGGATTGCGGTGTGGCCATCCTCACTGGATTTCTCACTTTCTGTCTTTCTGTGTCTCCGGTGATCGCTTGAGCCCTATAGCAAAAACCTCTCTAAAAAAAAAAAGCTTACACCTTTGTAGTCATGAAAAAATTTATACTAGATGGAAATCATATGAATGTGAAGAATATGGCAAGGCATTTAAACAGTGTTCAACTTCAGGATACAAGAATGAATTCATACTTGAGGAAAATATTATAGGAAAGGTGATAAATTGTTGAAACAGTTTTCTCAATGGACTACACATAAGAAAATTCATACTAGGGGGAACTATGTCTCAATCACTTCTTGGAGATTAACTGACTTCAAATGTTAAATTACACAAAAAGAAAGTTAAGATCATTAAAATTCATGAGATGTTGTGTGTCACAGGAATAGGAACATCTGTGGAAAGATCTATATTTAACTTACAAAATTTCTATTCAGTTATTTGCGGTTTCTTGAAAAGGTATTATTTTTAATTACTGCTTAAAGTTTGAAATCTATCGATGTCATGCCTTTATTAATCATGTATCATCATGATTTCTCAAGGAAGAGACTGGAAAAAGGAAGGGCCTATTTCCTCATTTGGGGTTTATTATTTAGCCGTAAAAAAACAACAGTGTTTATTTTAAGATATATCATGATATAAATTTGAGAGTATTGGGGGTAACAGAATAGAGGTAAAACTGTTACATAAATTATGCTTTGTGTGGTCAGGACCTTTTCCTGAAATTGTAGATATCACCAAGGACTTCTGTTGATTATAGAAGAGGTAAGATAACAAGATGATTATGAAACAAAGTAAGTCAGAACACTGAGAGAATGAAATTTTCATGGGAAGAAAATGATAGATTACTAGGAACTGAATATGTGGTTAAACAATGGGGGGAGATAGTGCCACTCTCTCCTTTGAAAGGCAGTAGCTGTTGCATATCCCATATTATTGAAAATTGGTCCTGTTTTTAAAAACAAAAAAAGTTAGAAGACAATTTAATCAAAAGAATGAGAATGGTGTGTTTATAAAGGATTTTTATTTGGCCACAAAAGTGCATTTTCATACAATTTTATTTAAAATATGTTATACTTCTTATGTCTTAATTAGTAAAAATATTTTTAAATAACCTGATTGAATTATGTACCATCTATCAAACCAAGCATATCCCACTCACTAGGGCACTTCATAATAAACACTTATATCCAAAAATAAGAAGAAGTAGAAGAAAAACTTTTCCCTCTCTGTTTATCTAATTAATACCCTTTGAACTGGTGGATGTATTTATTACCTTTCAAAAAGTGAAGTGGAGGGAAAAAGCCTTAAAAGAAATACTGATTTAGAAGAACAGGCACAACTCAGGGAAGAAGAAATGAAAAATGATCTTGCTCTCCTTGTTCCACATAGGAGTTATTCACGTTAGTTAATTATGCCTCCTCTAAAACATGAATACTGGGTCAATCTTAAGCAGCCTGTCACATTTTGTAGCAGTGTGACCAAGTTTATAATGCTGTATAGAATAAATATATGAAATTTAACAGCTCAGTTTTTTTGGAATTTCTTTGATGACTTTTCTTCATATATTTGGTTGTGTACTCAGTCATAGAATGTGTGTTTATGTTTTAGTCTTAATCCTTAAAACTCATTTTGATATTGCCCACTACATAAAGCAGATTTCTAATCAACTTAATGTTCTTGTTTCTGCATGCTTACAGGACTTATTTTAGTTTATATTATTTTAAAGCACATGTCTCATTTTTTTCCCAGAATAATTACATGATAACAATGTAAACAAAATGTAAAATAAAACTCATCCATAATACTCTGTCTGGAGATAATTGCAATGTGTATTATACAGTATACTTTTTTCCCAAGAGTATATTTTTCTAAAATTATAACCATATTACATATATGTTTGAATTTTTCACAGAACAATACATGGTGAATATACTTTGATCTAATGACATATCTTGGCAATATAACCCAGAGCACTTACTATTCCCTACTTAAAGTATTATCTTATGTCTCCTATTTGATTATGAGCCTCTAGAGGATAAAAATATTTTACTTGTCTTTTTCCCTGTCTGTTTCTGGTATAATGAAACATTATTTTTTCTGTCCATGCTGTTTTGTTCGTTTGTTTGTTTGTTTTGTTTTAGTTTTTTAGTCCCAGTAAATACTTAGAAAAACACATAATTTTTGCAGTATTCATTCCCAAAATGAATAACCTCAATCTAATCATGAGAAAACACTAGACAAACCCAAATTGAGGAACATTCTTCAAAAAATAATATTATTCAAAAATACAAAGGTCATGGAAAATAAGGAAAGACAGGAATTGTAAAAGCCTCGGTGACCATGAAGAAGTAATTTATTAGCATGTGATCCTAAAGCAAAAAAAGGACATCAGTGGAAAACTTGGCCAAATTTGAGTAAGATCTATAGTTTAGCTGATAATATTGTACCAATGTTTCCTGTCCTTGATCATTGTACTGTGGTTCTGTAATATGTTAACAATAGAGGAAACTGGGTATAATCTTTCTATAAGTCTAAAATTAGTTCAAAATGAATCATGGGAAAAAAAAAGTTAGGAGTGAAACATAAAAACCTACACATTAATATTCCTAATTTTTTTCTTTTAAATTTCAGCACCAAGTAGTATCATTTATACTGGCTGAAATGGCAATGAAAGTTGAACTAGCTAGACTAAGTTACCAGAGAGCAGCTTGGGAAGTTGATTCTGGTCGCCGAAATACCTATTTTGCCTCAATTGCAAAGGCATTTGCTGGAGATATTGCAAATCAATTAGCTACTGATGCTGTGCAAATTTTTGGAGGCAATGGATTTAATACAGAATATCCTGTAGAAAAACTCATGAGGGATGCCAAGATCTATCAGGTAAGGGAAAAATGATTTTTGTTGTCACAGATTGTAATATTCATAAATAACAGACTAGATATAGTATGTCTAGATTAGCCTTCTTTTGTGTTTTCACATCCTAGCTAATTGTAACCTATACTTTGCACTCCAAAAAGTATGTGTGTATTTTAAATTATTTTGTTTTGAATTTTGCCTGATATCTCTTGAATTAATTCAGACTGTACTTTGAGTCAGCAACCAATGTGAGGAAACAGCGATACATTTGACTTTTAAGTTACATGGTGGTTAGAAAAGCTTAGATAGGAGTCGTTTGGTAAATGAGATATAAATGTGCATGTTCCCCACATATGACTTAAATGATTGTAACCCATGCTCTTCAGTAATCTTTTTCCCTTGCTTCCCTCACCCCAAGAAAATTATCTGATAAGTCTAGTCATTTGAAATCTTGAGGTGGAATCAGAATGCTAGAGTGAGAAGACAATGTTAGATATAGTGCACTCCCCCAGTTTAGACATGCAAAAACAGGAGCAGGACCAGCCTTAGTGTTGCAGGCAATAGGGGTGCTGCTGTGTGATGCCGGAGACCATGTGGGTTCATGTCTAGGGTCTGCCTTGACGTGCTGAACTCACTCATGGTCCTGGCTGGCTGCAGAGCTAGTGGGAGGATCATAATGTGAGGACCCTGTTGAGGTACCTCTCTTTCTCTTTCTTAGGAAATACATGCATAAATATATAAACAAACTTTAAAAAGGGAATAAAGACCAGAATTTGTCCCATATGCAAAGTCACAGGTTTATCTGGTGATATTCTCTGTCCTGAAGTCTTTAATTATATATTATACTTATTACCATTATTATCAACCATTTACCTTTTGTCTACATCTGAGAACATGAACTAACAAATGGCTAGAGTTAGAAGTTTAGAATGGAAATGGAGGCTCACTATTAAGTGACCAAAATCAACTTCTTTAAGCATTGTTTTCTTTAGCATGTCTATTCTTTAGGTAGCAAGAAAGAAAAATCAAATTTCAGAGTAAGAATAGAAAATGACTAAAAGTAGCAACTAGCTAAGAAGAGAAAAATTGGATAAATGTTTTCGTAACATTAAACTTTATCTTTTTTCCAAATTTTTTTAAATGGAACTATCATTTTCTTTAATGTTTTGGAAGACTTTTCCAAAATTTTGGTAAATGACTCTTTGTAATGATTTAAACTAGGGCCGTCAGGTGGCGTGGTGGTTAAGGGCACTGGACTCCTACATGACCTACTATGGTTTGAGTCCTAGACCTGGTGGCTTGTTTTCACACTTTCCCACTCTCTCTCACTCTGTCACTCTCTGGTCAAAGTGAAATAAATAAATAAAGTTAAATAAAATAATTTTTTAAAAAAAATATTAATTTAAACTAATTGATAGGGATTTAGATATCTTCACAGGTTTTACAATATCAGGTTTCGGAATCTATAGGATGCAAAACTTATATATAGTACCGCATACAATATTAAATAAATCTAAGTATTTATGTATTGAAGATATTTAACCTGTATTTATGTCTTCCTTGCAGATTTATGAAGGTACTACACAAATTCAAAGGCTTATTATAGCCCGTGAACACATTGGCAAGTATAAAAAGTGAAGAGATTGTTATAGAAATATGATTAATCATTGAGTAACTATAACACAATTCACTGTTTAAGCTCCAGACATGAGAAAAGCTTTAACATTTTTCCATTGAAAATAAACATAAGTAATCTTATACTAAATCTATGCAATGATTCTAATAGTAGCTTATACTTTTAATTTCCCTTTTTTAAATAGATTTGATTTCACTAAAATTATGTATTGTCCTTAGTACCACTGTACTTGAATTACATTATCCTAGAAAAATACATATCTTTGTGATTTTGATCTCTTAAAATTAAAGTAATAGAAGTTTCTTGGAATTTCAATATCCCAATGACAGAAAAGTAGACTTAGTCAAAGCATTCAGAATGCTCCTAAATTTATACTGAGAAAATATCGTAGGGTTTTCATACCATTAACTTTGCCAGTGTTTGTATGCATAATAGTAGTATAATATTAAAGGAATGCATTTTAACTACAATTTGAAAAACATTTGCTTTCATTTTGCCTAGTAATAATCAAAATTCCAATATTCATATTCTCATTATGCAAGAATTTCCTTGAAAAAATATTAATTCTGAGCCCACATCCACTTGCCTTATTTATAATAAATCAATAAAGCTTGCCTTAAACTTTTATGTGACTGTTGGTCTCTAGGCAACCTTTGGTCTGTTGTACTAATTTCCTGTTCATGCATTCTGAAAAGCAACTTAAATAAAATTGTCTCTTCAATGCTTATTATTGTATCTTTTCATATTCTTTACGGGGAGTTTTATTACTTTATGTAACAGTATATTTCTTCAGGTATTTAGTGTAATGAAAAAAGTCATTTTGTTTTTGGAGAGATTTTTGCTGTAGGACACGTACGCTTGCCAGAAAGACAGAGACAGAGAGATAGAGAGATAGAAAGTGAGAAATCATCCCCCAGGGGGGATGGCCACACTGTAATCCCTTCTCTTCCATTCTCTTGGGATCTTGGGCATGCATGCACACATGCCCAGTGTGAGTTTAAGCCACCAGATCCAGGACTCAAACCACGTTTGACTACATGGGAGTCAAGCAACATAGCCATTACGCCAACTGCTGGTCCCATGAAAAAAGTCATGTTTTTTATTTGAACTGCATAATATCACCCACTCCCCCCCTTTTTTTTTAGTGTATACAATTGAACACTCCTAACTTAAAAGCCTGAAATCTGAAATGCTCTGAAGGTCAAAACTTTTATCTCTGGCAGAATTCCACACCTGACCTCATATGCCAAGTCACAATCAAAATGCTGTATTCCATAAATATTGTATAAAATTACCTTCAGGCTATGTGTATAAAATGCATATGAAACAAATGAATTTCCTATTTAGACGTGGGTTACATCCTAAGATAGCACATACTGTTATGCAAATATTGCAAAATCCAAAATAATTCACAAAACTAGAAGTATAAATTATAGAAGTGTAAATTTTCTTCTAGTCCCAAGCGTTTTGGGTAAAGGATACTCAACATGCATTATTGGAGACCTCAGAAAATATAAATATGAAGTAATGTAGGTACCAAAATTTGTTAATACTTTTGTATAATTTTAAATACCAAATATTGCTAAAAAAAATGTGTATACTAAATGGGGTATTTTCTGCAACCATTCTCATTCTCCAATTATCCACCGGTGTGTCTTGCATTTCAGTTTTATTCTGACAGTACCCAGTTAGGTTTAGTCCCATAATACTGCCCTCACTTCACAGGTGAGTTATAAGCCCTGGTTCCCTAGGCTTTCAATATTCCATGGCCTAACCCTCAGGTTGATAATTCACAAGAAAACTCACAGAACTCAGGACAGCACTTAGCCTAGCCACGGTGGTGGATGTTGGTAAGATGCTACTGGTTCTTGGGCTGAGGCCACATGGGAGTCCTGGTTGAATTCTCAGTCCACCTGTGCTTCTAGATAACTGGAAGGCTTTGGTCAGAAGACTGCAGTGTGGTGAGATCCAGTCAAAAATCTCTCATTAAAAAGAAAACGGAGGGGGACCAGCAGTTACCGTAATGGCTATGTTGCTGAACTCCCATGTAGTCAACCGTGGTTGGAGTCCTGGACCTGGTGGCTTAAACTCATGCTCGGTGCATTTGCCTGCATGCAAAAAATCCCAAGAGGAGAATGGAGGAGAACGGATTGCGGTGTGGCCACTCCCCCTGGGGGGTGATTTCTCGCTTTCTGTCTCTCTGTCTCTCTCTCTCTTTCTGGCAAGCACATGCACCCTATAGCAAAAACCTCTCCAAAAAAATCAATAAATAAAGCAACCAAATTCTAACATGTGAATGTTCAAAAAAGAAAGAAAAAGAAAAAGGAGGAACTAGTGGATGGCATAATTGTTATGTCACTGGACTCCCATGTAGTTGACTGTGGTTCTTATCCCAGACCTGGCACTTAAAACTCACACCAGGCACATGTATGTGGCCCAAAATCCCAAGAGGAGAATGGAGGGGAAGGGATTGCGGCATGGCCATTCCCCCCTGGCGGGGAGTAATTTCTTGCTTTCTGTTTCTCTGGGAGTACATGCACCCTATAGGAAAAAAAAAAAAAAAAACTCTTTGGGGCTGGCGGGTGGTGTGGTGGTTAAGGGTACTGGACTCCCACGTGGCCAACCATGGTTTAAGTCCCAGACCTGTTGGCTTGGTTTCTCACTTTTCCTTTTTCCCTCTGTCCCTTTCTGGTCAAAATTTTAAAATAAAATAAATCTTAAAAAAAATTAAAAAAAAAAAAAGAGAAAAAGTAGAAGGAATGTAGGGGGGCCAGCAAGTGGCATGGTAGTTGGGGTGCTTGGACTCTGACATGGCCAACTGTGGTTCGAGTCCTGGATCTAGTGGCTGGCTTTCTGACTTTCCCTTTTTCTCCCGCTCTGTCTCTCTCTGGTCAAATTAAAATAAATAAATAGAAAATAAATAAAATACTTTCTTTTTTTTTAAAAAAAAAAAAAGGAAAGGAACTGGGGAAATCACTTTACCTACATTTTTCTGTTTATCATAAAAGATACAACTCAAGAACAGTTATGGAAAAGATGCATTGGCCAAGGTACGGAGGTTGGGACAAAACAAATTTCTGTGATTTCCCACAGACTCTCCAGAAAATTTCAAGGAGACTTACAGGTGTGAAATAAAGATTTGACCTTGGAAAGGAAAAAATCAAAAGGAATGTCAGAATTAAGATAGCATTATAGGTGCCTGAGAAAGAACATTTGGTACTTATTTAAAGGAACAACAAATATTTTAAAATAAATACAGCAGAGTGAACAAGATTATAAAAAACTTTATTTCTTGGGAACCAGCAGTTAGCGTAATGGCTATGTCGCTGGACTCCTACGTAGTTGACCGTGGTTTGCGTCCCGGACCCGGTGGCTTAAAACCCATGCCGGGCATGTGTGCATGCGTGCCCAAGATCCTGAGAGGAGAATGGAGGAGAAGGGATTGTGGCATGACCATCCCCCCGTGGGGTGATTTCTCTTTTCTGTCTCTATGTCTCTTTCTCTGTCTGTCTGGTGAGCGCACACGCCCTACAGTGAAAACCTCTTTAAAAAAAAAAAAAAACTATTTCTCAAATGAAGAAACTTTGTTTTCCTCCATCTGTTTTTTAAATAATCAAGGAGACCATGAAGTCAATATATAGCTCACAGAAAAGTTATTCTATTAAAACACAAAATCTCCACTGTCTAGGTAGAAGTAAAGATTAACCTTTCACATTGTTGGTGTATCCCATTAAAACTGAACTTTGCCAAAACTAGCACATTCCTCAGGTTCTTTTTCAGATGCAAATAGTGCTATACCCCAAGGCAAATTCACTTTCCTTCACTATGCTTTTTCATATTCTAGAACAAAAGGATGCTTTAGAACAAAACTACCTTTTACCTCCAGAGAAACAAAAGCACATGTAACTCTATTTTTTTGTTGTTGTTGCTCCTATTTCATGTTGTAGTTACATGATGATTATTATGCCTTTATCAAAGAAACTAACCTTTTGGGGCTGGCAGAGGATGTGGTGGTTAAGGCACTGGACTTCCAGATGGCCGACCATAGTTCAAGTCCTGGACCTAGTAGCTTGTTTTCTCACTTTCCCTTTTTCTCTATCTCTGTCTCTCTCTGGTCAAATTAAAAAAATAATAATAATAATGACAACAAATGGGATTAAATAAATAGTTTTTTAAAAACCATTTTTTTTTCCTTTTTTAAATTTTTGCCATATAGTGCATGTGCTTGCCAGAGAGAGACAGAGGGACAATCACCTGGTGGAAGAGGGAGAGGATACACCACAATTCTTTCTCCTCCATTCTCCTACCAGGATTTTGGGCACACACGTACACACACCTAGCATGATTTTCAAGCCTTCGGGTTCAGGACTTGGATCGTGATCGGCCATGTAGGAGTTCAGCACCTTAACCACTATGCTGCCTGCTAGCCCCCAAAGAAACTAACTTCTGTTTCACAGAGAAAGATAGAAGATAGGTCAATGATTACTGTCACACACAAATTTTAGCAGACCACAAAGGCCCATAAATGGTTGTTGGAAAACTTGTGACACATTTTTGCATAGAAAAAATGGGATCAGCAGATGGCATAATGACTACGTCGCTGGACTCCCACGTAGTCAACCATGGTTCGAGTCCCAGACCTGGTGGCTTAAACTCACACTGGTGGGCACGTGTGCGTGCATGCCCAAGATCCCAAGAGGAGAATGGAGGAGAAGGGATTGTGGCATGGCCATCCCCCATCCCTCCAGAGGGTGATTTCTTGCTTTCTGTTTCTCTATCTAACTCTGTCTTCTTGGCAAGCCACGTGCCCTATAGCAAAAGCCTAAAAAAAAAAAAAAATCCAGAAGAAATGGGTTATGACTTTTCCAATTACCCAATATAAGATGGCTGTACAAATCTCTTTGTACCTCAAAGTGGCAATAGGAAAGATGTATTAACTTGATCCAGAGATGTAACCACTTTATAGCATATCCAAATAAGCAAAGGTATATAAATTTAAAATTATGCTCAGTTGAGCCAACCAGTTTGAATCCTGGACCCAGCAGCTTGAAACTCATGCTGGGCACGTGTGTATGTGTGCCCAAAATCTCAAGAGAGTAATGGAGGAGAAGGAATTGTGGGATGGCCATCTCCTCTGGGGGTGGTGATTTTTTTGCTTTCTGGCTGTCTCTTCCTTGAGAGCATGTACCCTATACGAAAAATCTCTTTTAAAAAAATTGTACTCAGTTATTAATGATTCCGTATTCTATCTCACAATCTTACGAATCAAAAGATTACTCATTGGTTAAATCAATCTTAGTCCAAAGTTCTAAATTTCCTAACCATTTTTTTTCAATCTTACATAATCCAAAAAAGAAAAAAAATTACTGTTGAGGGGCCAGCAGATTACACAATGGTTACGTTGCTGGACTCCCACGTGTGACCAACCACAGTTCAAGCCCCGGACCTGATGGCTTGAAACTCACATCAGGTGTGTGTGCGTGCATGCTCAAGATCCCGGTAGGAGAAAGGATTGTGGTGTAGCCACTACCATCCCCCACACCCCTGGGGGTGATTTTTCACTTTCCCCTCACTGTCTCTGTCTCTTTCCACAGTGAGCACACCCTAAGGCAAAAACCTCTTTTAAAAAATTAACAATAATTATTGTTGGAATTGAAAAAAAAAGTTTGATAAGATTATGATTCAATTCAATGAAATACAACTATTTGTCAAAATCTTAAACTTTATGTAGATGTTTGGCTAGCTAATTTGACCAATAAACCAATATTAAAAGTTTTACGAAATTTGAACTAACAAGTTTGTTCATTAAAAAATAAGCCTGCAAGGCCAGTAAGTGGTGTGGTGGTTAAGGCGCTGGATCCCACATGGCCAACTCCATGGTTCAAGTCTTGGACCTGGCAGCTTATTAAAGATTGTCATTTAAAGATCGACAAGTTACTCAACAGCACCAATGGAATATCATTCAAGTATTGCAAAAAAGCACTGGCCAACCTAGAATTGTGAACCCACAGAATTTTTGGAAAAATTATGTGGGAGAAATAAAGGCATTTTCAAGTAAACACAGTTGACAGTTTACTAATAACAATCAAGGAAGAAAAAAAGGAAAGAAAAAGGACTCTACAAGGACAATGTGATATTCAAGAGGAAATAGTTGAACTGATAAGTGTGTAGGTAACAAATTGCCTATATTAGATGATAATGATAAAATAATATGAGGCCAAACAAAAGGAATATAAATAAAATACTAGAGAAAAAGTAAAAGGAACGTGAAGTGTTAAAAAGATTCTTGTACTTTTGGGAAGGAGGGTTGGAATATTAACTTTGGACATTTTTAAGTTCACAAGGTACATTCCTAAGTAGTCAATAAAATAATAAAATTGGAGTTTGTAATTTCTAAACCAGAAGGACAGAAAAAGATAAAAACAAAATGTAACATGTTACTAAAACATAATTTTTGTTAAAGGGAAATAGGCCAAAACAATGAGAGTTATAGAAAATGTAGTAGAGAGATAACAAAAATAAGTCAAACAAACAAACAAATCATAGTACTTATAAATGGACTGATATAATTAGTTAAAAGTGGACCAAAGAAATCAGCCATTTTCTGTTTATAAGACACACTCTGAAACCTAACAACACAGAAAGGCTGAAAGTAAAAAAGTTAAAAAATTTTCTTTTAGAGGTAATTATTAACCAAAAGAAAACTGAGGAAATTTCATTAATATTTTTAAAAGACTTTAAAAGATTAAATGCATTATGAGAGCTAGAACAGTCATGTTTAGAGATACTAACAGTCATGCTTTTTAGGTCAGGTGACAAAAAAAATAACAAAACATTCATGTATAAAGTAAATCCGAATTATAAATAGGAAAATCAGCATAACTACTGGAGAAATAATGAAATGCATTACCACAGTACGTTCCACACTGTCTTTCCTAGTTCCTGGTAAGCCACATATGTCAGTATATCATGAATTCTCCAAATTGTTAGTTAATGTAACGAATGGAAGCCTAGCCCCGGGTGTGGTGTTTAAGGCAGCTGGATCACACACAATCACACATGTTGAGTCACACCCTCAGGCTTGGAAACACACTTGGCACATGTGCCTGTGTTTTTCAAAATCCTGAAAGGAGAAAAAGGTGGGGAAGAAATTACCACCTGATCATTCCCCATGGAGGTGGTACCATCCCTCTCCTCCTTGCTAATAAGGCAGAAGATAGGCATATTGAGGACACGTGCCCTCTGGCAAAAAATTTTTTAAAAGTAATGGATTGATGGAATCATACTAACATTTCTAATGAGTACTCGAAAATGCTCGGTGTGAAAAACAAGAATGCACAAATGAAAACAGCTGTATTACAGTTTGCACATCTGAACTCTGTGGAAAGCTCATAAAAAGCCACAGGGGTTTCTTTTTTGTAATTTTCAAATATTTTAACTATTAGTAAGGTAAGAGTTACACCACAATTACCGTAGATAGGTGAAGGGTCCTGAAAGGAAGTCACTATGTTTTCCTCTTTTAATGAAGTCTCTGCGTTTTTCCTCTATGGTCTGATTATTATAGTCTCTAACTTAGGACTCCTTGCTTATAAGGCAGAAGATAGGGATAGTGAGCACACAGACAAGATAAGGCCAAGATGGAGTCATGGTGACTGTTTTCACAGCCAAAAGTTGGCTGCATTGAAACCCAAATTAACTGTAAGGGCAACAGTTTCTATTCGGTAACTGTATTGTAACAAGAAGTACAGGGCTATGGTCGGCTGACTCCACAGAATAGGGTGATAAATCACTGACCATTTTCTAAAGCTCACTTCCTTAACAGAGAGACAGCTCAGTGCTAAGACTGCTAGATTAAAAAAACCCTCACCTCCAGTCCCTCTTCAGAAACCTATTAGGGCCCCTCTTCAATTGTATTGGAAGTTTTTTTTTTTTTCCTAATAGATTCCTCTGTCCTCTGCTTTCTATGTTCAGGTCTTTAATTCTTCCTGTACTAAGACAAGAACTAGCACAGGTGTTAGGTCCGATCACCCAGCACTCGCACCTCATCAGCATTTCCAGGGGGCGGGGGGAGGGAGGGTGAAGGGGGATAATGGGCCCGATAGCAAACGCACTAGGTAAAAAGGAAGGGACTATGAAGATTTCATTAACGAATATTCGAAAACATCTATTAAACACTACGTGCAAGCAGGCACTCTATTATTAAAACAGCCATTTCAGATCTTAAACACAAAGAGTCTCGAGAACAAATGATTTTTTAAAAGCAACTCTGATATCTAAATACAAGCTAAAATTGTTCCGGATAATTTCTAGTTGCTGCAAAATCAAAAAGGGAACCAAGGACTTTGGACGCAGGCAGTGAAGACACCTATGAGAAATCGGTGGGGTCCTAGGGATGTTTTGCCCTTCAGGCACGAGTATAGTCAGCTATGTCCGGGGGCAGAGGGGACTTGAACGCTGTTGCGCAGGCGCGCGACTACAAAGTCTACTCAGGAACTGGCAAAGATCTTTCTTTCGGCTCTCAGACATGGTGAGCGTCGTCTCTTTTCTCGCTGCTCTCTAAATGGGTTGGGAGGAAATGGGGTAGAGTATTGTGGAACGGCGTAATCACGGTAGGGTTGTTTACTGAATACTGTCCAATCATTGATTTAAGTCCCTGGCCTTGTGTTTCTTGAGGCCCTAAAGGGTGAAGTATTACTCAGCGTTTTTTGCAGGCCGCGGGAGCACAATTGCTACTTCTAAGTCCAGGCTTCCTCCTGTCGTATGGGCCTGTAGGATTGTGCGGTCTAATTTCTTAGTGCCTTTCAAAAAGCTGGGGCCGGTAATGTGTATTATTTTATGTATTTTAAAATTTTGGCTCACATTTTTAAAGGTTATTAGCAATTCGATCTCGTGCAGAGACTTAGTAAAATTTTAAATGGGATCAAAAAGAAAATCTCTACGTTTTTGTCAGTCGTTATGATCTACTTGTCTGCAATGCAGTCTCAATCACAAACGTCCAGGCTCGTTGATGAATGCGAAAAGTTAAAAGTCGTTGGACCTAGAAGAAAACTTCCTTGGTAACTAGACGTAGTTTTGGGGTGCATAAAAGATCCTTAAGAACCTAGATTTGATTAAGTAGGGATCTGGCTGCAAATTAAGGGCCTGCAGGATTTTTAAAAATGTTTTTGTTTTTGCATGCCGTATGCCACGTGTGAACTGTAAGTTGTCCTGAATCCTAAGTTTTGGTAGTTAACTCTTTAAGTAGGAGATAAGCTGTAACAGATGCAGGTAGTACTTTTTTGGGTCGATGATGAGTTGGCATGTATTCTGAATTTAAAGTTGATTATTACTATTTTAGCTCTAGAATTACTCTGAGACCTGAAAAATAACTGAATTGTGACTAAGAGGGATCTCTAATGTTTTAAAGTTCTTTTTTGTTATATGCTTAAGTACTTCTGTGGCATCTTCTGTTTTACAGTGGTAAACTTGAAATTATTGTCTTTTTATCTTGTAAGGGCACACAGCAGAAGGATGTTGTTATCAAGGCAGATGCACCAGACACTCTGTTATTGGAGAAACATGCTGATTATATTGCATCCTATGGCTCAAAGAAAGATGATTATGTATGTATGATTTCTTGTTAGAAGTTTAAATTTTTGTTTTTGTAGTTGGGGTAATGTTTCAAGGTCAATGATGTGTTGGCATGTATTACCTGAATTTACTCCTGATGTGTAATGAAACATTAGCTCTAGAATTACGCTGAGACTTTGAAAAGTTTTACCCCAAGTTCTTTTTTTGGGGGGAGAGGGATTTCTTTTTTTTTTTTTTTTTTTTGCCATAGGGCGTGTGCACTCGCCAGACAGAGACAGAAAGCGAGAAGAGAAATCATCCCCCAGAAGGATGGCCACACCACAATCCCTTCTCCGTTCTCTCAGGTTCTTGGGCACGCTTGCAAACATGCCCAGCGTGAGTTCTAAGCCACCGAGTTGAGACAGGAACCTTGGTCGACTAAATGGTAGTCCTGCGACATAGCCGTTAAGCTAACTGCTAGTCCCTACCCCAAGTTCTTAAAAGAGTAGATTTTGCTCTCTGGGACAATCTTAGCAAAAAGTAGTGTCTCAGAACATATCTTTTTCTCTTATCCAAACATTTGGATTATCTTCATTTTATTTACCATTTTAGGAAAGGATCTGGCATTGATGAGTTTGAATTAGTTGTTAGGTTGTTCCCATTAAGTGATTACTGCTAAAATTAACTACTAATTAGTAGTAATCATGGAGTTCAGGAGATAGGTACTTTTTCCCTGGCAGACTTAAAGGTTTGACTTGCTCCCTCATTTTACGTCTTGTCCACCAGCCTCTATTCTAAACCTTGAATTTGAATTGGCTGCAAACCAAGATATTCACTAGATTGAACTGCAGCAAAAGGGCCCAACATGGTGAACGTGTTGGATCCCATATTGCCGACTAACATGCTTGACCCAAACTGGTGACTTGGAAGTATGCCAGGTGCATGTGTGCTCAAAATCCCAAGAGGAGAAAAGAAATTGTGGCATGGCCATCCCTCTCTAAGGAGGGATTTCTGACTTCTCTCTCCTGTGGGGAGCATGCACATTATGGCAAAAATCTTAAAAAGAAAAAAAAAAAGTTTGTTTCTGGAATCTTCCTATTTTCATGTCTCCTTGATCAGGCACCGTTTTATCTGAGCATAAACACCTACTTTTACATGCTTACATTTTGATTTTTATGTAGTCACATCATTTATTAAAATGTGAAAGGTTTGGTAATGGTGTTCCTGTATTAAAAGAATCGATATAAACACAATACAGGCACTGAAACAATATTCTACCCAAACTTTATTGATGGAAAGAAAAATAGCTTTTTTTTCTGAGTTACCTTACCTCTCTGCTCTTGGGAGGAGCCCTATTTATAGTATCAGTCACAGATAAACATACATACTAGTCAGATAAATTATTTCTGATTAATTTTGCCTGAAAATAGCTCCTAATAAGTTAAAACATAAATTTAAGTTTACTGTTAATTAGCGATGCTGTTAGGCTGTCATGTTAACTTTGTTTTTAATCTAACCCAGTAAATTCTGATACTTAAGAATTGTGTATTTTAGGAGTACTGTATGTCTGAGTATTTGAGAATGAGTGGCATCTACTGGGGTCTGACAGTAATGGATCTCATGGGACAACTTCATCGCATGAATAGAGAAGAAATTCTAGCGTTTATTAAGTCATGCCAACATGAATGTGGTGGAATAAGTGCTAGTATTGGACACGATCCTCATCTTCTATACACACTCAGTGCTGTCCAGGTAAATACTAATTAAAACTCCATTGTCTTGATAGTATATTGAAACTATTAGGAAGATTACAAACGTCAGTAACTGATACTAAAAATTAAAAGCCCTATAAGGTCAGTGATGTGATGGCATGTATTAGCTGAATCCAAAGTTGATGTGAATTTTAAAATTACTGAGACCTTGTGGGGTGAAATTAGAAGTTTCGTTGAGTTGTATATTGTATAGTATTCGTAAAAACCACCTGGCAGTTTAAAAGTATTTCTATATGTGAAAGTATTTCGAATGCCAAGTTAAAATTTGGATCAAGAGAATGCTTCATGGTTTCTAAAATTTTGGTTGGCTACAACACTTCTTGGTCATTTTATTGACAGGAAATCTGCATATTTGAGAAAAGTATATATACATAGACAAGATGTGTGTGCTTTACAGCAAAGGATAGTTAAGGAAAGCTTAAATGTAAATGTGAAGGAATGTTTATTTAGCGTCTTTATTGCAAATTATTACTATAATATTTATGTGTCTTTGTTGCAGATTCTTACTCTATATGATAGTATCAATGTTATTGACATAAATAAAGTTGTGGAATATGTTCAAAGTCTGCAGAAAGAAGATGGTTCTTTTGCTGGAGACATTTGGGGTAATTTCAAATTTAGTCTGCATCTAAAATAACAACATTTTAGACCTGGCTTTACTAGTAGCCAGCTTATAAAGAGATTTTAAGTTTTCCATCTTTTCAGGTCCCAGTAAGCAGCTGGTCTAGCTGGTCTGCTGGAAGTTCCAGCATGCACTGTGGTAGTTATATCAACATACAGGAACACTGGAACAGAGTGGGCCAGTCTAAAAGATAAGGTAGGTGATTTTTTTCCCCCAGTATTTGGTGGCTTTGTAAAGTTTTTTTTTTTTAAAAAAATTGCTGGAAAAGGAAATCTGTTTTAAAACTTTACAAACTTACTGAATATTTGAGAGAGTATAATTTTACTTGATAAATGTAGATAATCTATACTTTGGGGTTGAACCCAGTGCAGGCCAGAGAGACCAGCTGCTTTATGGGATGTGAAAATCTTTTATAAAATAGGGTAAGTTTATTTCCATTATTAGAAGTTAGTCCTGGGCTACATTTGTGGCCTGGCATTTAGGGCAGCCAGGTCCCACATGGCCGATTGTGCAGTTCAAGTTTTGAACATGGTGGCTTAAGAAACAAGCCTTGTGGGACCAGCAGTTAGTGTAATGGCTGTGTTGCTGGACTCCCACATAGTCGACTGCAGTTCAAGTCCCGGACCCGGTGGCTTAAACTCACACTGGGCGCATGTGCGTGTGTGCCCAAAATTCGAGAGGAGAACTGAGACGGGATTGCAGCGTGGCCATCTCCCTGGGGGGGTGATTTCTGGCTTTCTGCCTCTCTGTCTGTCTTTCTGGCAAGCACACACGCCCTATAGCAAAAAAGAAACATGCCTTGTGCATGTGTCTGCCTGCCTAAGATCCCAAAAGGAGGGAGAAACGAAGCAGAGGAGATTGTGGAGAGACCATTACCCGCTGGGGTTGCTTTTGCCTCTCTAGCCATTGCATGTGCCTTCTAACAAAGCAAACTGACTAGTCCTTCAGATTCTTAAAGTTTTTGTTATTTGACTTTAGATTTAGTATTCCTCTTACATACCTAAATTTATCTTGAACCATTAGAAATTTACTAGGGTAGTTGTATAGATTGTGCTTTTAGAGGGTAGTTGTATAGATTGTGCTTTTAGATGACTTGGATGATGTAGTCAAATGTCTGATGTTTGCTCTGGTATGGTTTTTTCATTTTAGGAGAAATTGATACAAGATTCTCTTTTTGTGCGGTGGCGACTTTGGCTCTATTGGTAAGCTTTGAATACTGTGTTGAAATTATTAGATGACCATGATTATGCTGGAATTTAATAGTTGTATTTGTTTTGTTTAAAGGGGAAACTTGATGCTATCAATGTGGAAAAGGCAATTGAATTTGTTTTATCCTGTATGAACTTTGATGGTGGATTTGGTTGCAGACCAGGTTCTGAATCTCATGCTGGGCAGGTAACTTAAGATAAGCACCAATTTTGAGGAGATAACCAATGATTAAAAATGAGAAATCATACTCATAAAATTTAGTATTAATCTGAATGAAGTTAGACTATAATGTGGCAAGTTGCTTATTTGCTAATTAAAGCATTTCACAATTTGCTTTATTTATATACCTTCTTCTTTCAGAGAATTTCTTCGACTCAGGTTCATAATCACCAAAGTACATTTGTATTTGCCATAAAATTTTAATTAACTAGATATATGAAAACATTGCATTCCACTTTGAGCTAAATGAGCACTACTTCATGTAGGCAAGAAAACATATATATATAATTGTGGAATACTTGGTCACAAAGGAATTTTGACAGTAGTATTTCAACTCAGAATTGGGTCCTGTTAATAGTGATAGTATTGTATTATGGGCTTTTTGCATAATTCTGAGATTTAATGTGTTTGAAGTTCTAAATGTTCAATTATTAGATCAGAAAGCAAACTTTAGATGTAAGTGGGGTTTTAATAATTTTTCTATCACTTTTACTGTCAAGAAATTATTATACAAATGTACTTTATGTCTGTAATTTTAGATCTATTGTTGCACAGGATTCCTGGCTATTACTAGTCAGTTGCATCAAGTAAATTCTGATTTACTTGGTTGGTGGCTTTGTGAACGACAGTTACCTTCAGGTGGACTCAATGGACGACCAGAAAAGGTACTTACTGTTGGCTAAACTGTTTCATTAGCTCTGTAATCTTAGTGCTACTACTTTGTCTTCCACATTTTAGTTTTGCTCTTGAAAACTGGCCATGAGTTTGTTTTTTTGAGAGGTTTTTGCTATAGGGTGCACGCACTCGCCAGAGAGAAATCACCCCCCCCCCAGAGGGGATGGCCACTCCCCAGCACCTTGTCCTCCATTCTCCTTTTAGATCTTGGGCATGCATGCGCATGCACCCGGCAGCATGACTTTAAGCCATCCAGTCTGAGATTTGAACCGCAGTCAACTGTGTGGGATTACATCGACATAGCTATTACGCCAACTGCTGGTCCCTAATTTTTTTTTTTTAACCTGACTTTATTGTAATTTTTCAGTAATATCCTATAAAAGGACTTTGGTAGAAGTAGAACCTACTTTGTTAAAGTACTATGGGCCCCTGTGTCCATTTTCAATAGGCTTAAAGAAAACATACAGTTTACCATCTAATGGCACTTTTTACAACAAATTTCACATTCTGAAATTAATTGTTGTGTTACTTACAGGAGAATACAAAACTATTAAATACTCATAGTTCAAAGTATTTGTGTTGAGACATAGTAAATTTTTTTTTTTGAGAGAGAGAGATTTTTGCTATCGGGTGTGTATGCTAGCCGAAGAGACGAGACAGAAAGTGAGAAGTCACCCCCCTAGGGGGGATGGCCATGTCACAATCCCTTCTCCAATCTCCTCTTGGGATTTTGGTCACACAAACCACAGTTGACTCTGGGAGTTAAGCGTTGTAACCATTTCACCATCTGCTGGTCCAGAGACATTGTATAAATTTTGGAAGTTTTTTTTTCCCTCATCTTTCTGAAGGCCTTGGATTTTTTCAAGCATTGGAGTGAAGGTCTTTAAATATTTACATTCTGGACCTACGTTATGGTTATCCATCTTCTACAGAATCTCCACTTTCATCTATTGGAGTGAATGGAGAGTTAATCTGGCTACATTAAAGGGATTTTTAAAGGGTTATTTTATTTGCTTTATTATTATTTTTTAACTTGACCAGAGAGAGTGAAAGCGAGAAAGCAAACACCAAATCTGGGACTCAAACCATGGTTGGCCATGTGGGAATTCAGTTAAATTAGGCTGTAACATTTTCATAAGCAACCATTTCAAGTACTGCATGTCAGTATAACTATCCTTTGATGTCCCTCACCCAATTTGATTATCAGGTTAAGAGTGAGAACTCAATTTTTTTAAATTGATCTCAAAATGAGAGAAATAAAAGAATGGAGAATAAAATTGTGACAACTTTTTGTGATCTTTTTCCTAGTTACCAGATGTATGCTATTCATGGTGGGTTTTGGCCTCCCTAAAGATAATTGGAAGGCTGCATTGGATTGATAAAGAAAAATTGCGTAGTTTCATCTTAGCATGTCAAGATGAAGAAACGGGGGGATTTGCAGACAGACCAGGAGATATGGCAAGTATTTTTCTCACGTTTGTGTAAGGTATTTTCTCATTGTTGCATTACTATTATTCTGTATGTATTGAGACATAAGAGAGATGGGTGGTTCATGGTGCTTCAGATTCAATATTTTTTAAACTTATTTTAAAATTCATGATGGATATAGAACCAATTTTCAGAAATTTCTCATCAGTTGCTTACCAAATTAAGTGTATGGTGAAGGTCAGGTGTTAAAAATTTTAAAGCCTTACTAAATAATAGACTTTTTAAATTTATTTCAAGTTTTCATTTTGTAATAAGTTAATGGATTCTTCTCTTAAACAGGTGGATCCTTTTCATACGTTATTTGGAATTGCTGGATTGTCACTTTTGGGAGAAGAACAGATTAAACCTGTTAGTCCTGTTTTTTGCATGCCTGAAGAAGTGCTTCGAAGGGTGAATGTTCAGCCTGAACTAGTGAGCTAGAGTCATTGATGCAGCAGTTGCTGAGTGTGGTTTTGGCATCTCAACATTTCTGTATTTGAAGTGCTTACTGAATTTTAAAATGACTACTGTTAATATTTTGTACTGTATATTATTGTGTTAATTTTAATAAATTATATAATTATACATATTGTAAAGTAAGTATTATTTCTTGGCTTTAGACTTTCTTTAGAAATGCTGTTAATCTGAGTTCTGCTTGATCTTGTGTTTGTGTACACTTAACATGTTCTTTAACAATAGTTATTTAAACTGTTTTGTTGTCATTAAGTGATAAAAATGGGTAAGCACCATATATGAATTAAACAATGCACAAAATAAATGACTTTGTAATTTGGGAGTAATTTATGGATTTTAATAGTATTAATCTTGAGTTAGCCTCATGTTTACCTAAATGGAAGTTGCCATACTATCTTACAATGGGATTAAAGTTTGGGGTCAACTTACTATCTTACAATGGGATTAAAGTTTGGGGTGGGCTTAATTTTCATTTTATAGGTCAGAACTATCTAAAGGGGATTAGCAGTTGGCGTAATGGCTGTGTCACTGGATTCCCATGTAATCGACCGCTGTCCTGGACCCAGTTGCTTTCTGGAGAGCCCATGCACCCTATAGCAAAAATCTCCACCACCCCCCCCCCAAAAAAAAAAAAATGCCCAAAGGACTGTTGGACCTTTTTTCTTTTTCCAATGAGGAAACACTTTAATCAGTAAATTCTTACTAGCTACAATGTTTTTTGAGCCTGTTGTTTAAAAATAGATGTAAGTATTATCTAAGGCATTTACAAATTTTAGGGGGATAATAATAATGTTTTAGTTCAAATTTTCTCAAGCATGTTTACAATCCAATCAATAACAGGATAGGCTATAGTTGTTGGAATGTAGCTGAACCATGCTGTGCATGCATGATTTTTTTGAAGCACTTAATTGAGTAATTGCATAGTGGTATAAGTGAGTGACTTCCATTAGTATCTGTAGCTGTTTTCTTATTCCTAGCATCCCTAGGAAGCTGGTGGTACTACCACCAAATCTGAGTAATTTCTCCAGAGATCATCACTTCCTTGTGGACTTCATTCACAAGGCCTATATTAGATGGTTGTACTGAGATACTGAGCAGCATTAAGTGTACTCACTTATCAGAGGCACTGGGTGCAGTTTTCTATATTTACTATACTTGGACTATACGAAATAAAAGTTTGTGACATTTTCCTGTATGGGAAATAGGGCACTGTAAGAACACCAAACCCAGGGTTCATTGATGAGCCCCGAAGAATTACACTCAAGGATTCCTGAAGGTTGAGGAATGCTTTACCCCATGTTAAGGTTCCTGTGCGAGATGAAAGGACGGGACAGCTGAGAGCACTGCCTGGATGCAACTTAGCCCTAGATGCCATGTGAGCAAAGATGGCCACGTGTGGTAAACTGGGCATGCGCGCGCCTGCGCAGTTCCTCCAGCTGAGCCGTATCAATTTGCGCCTGCGCGTTGCTTCCCGCCCTTTTAGTGGTGCCACTTGTGCCTAGGCTACGCAGAGGGCCAAGACGTCTATTCTCCGGAAGGACTGAGGATGCTGAGGAACGAGGTCATGTCAACTTCGCCTTCGGTCCCAGCAGCTTCCTCCTCATCTGTAGATGTTCACTTACATGGTCCCCGCCACGGTTTTGGCCCCCAGGAGACCCCTCAGAGCCGCCCTTCAGTCCAGGCCTTCTCGGAGTCGACTCTCCTGCGCACATCCGGAGCCGCGGGTGACCGGAGCAGCAGCAGCAGTGTCTCTCGCCAACCGCCAAGCTTCCAGCCAGCTCCAGGAAAGGCGTGGTTGGGTGGGAGGGTCTCTGTCAACTCGAGGCTTGGGGAGCGCGGGTGGAGGTTACCACAAAAGCCACTCAGCAGTGGTTTGGATGGAGGATGAGGACATAGTGCTCTGGGAATCTGGTGGGTCTGGGTGGTTAAAAGGCTTGACTCTCCCAATTGGTTTTATTACAAGACCATTATGGCAGATGGCTCAGTTCTGAACCGGTGGAAATATCACATAAGCCCCCCTCCCCCCCAAAAAAAAAGTATATGACAGTTTGTGCAAAAGTTTGCTTATCGGATGGTATGCTGAACTTCACCTGCTTTATTTTAGTCTCTTAAAAGTCTTCCTATGGAGGAGTGGAAATAGGTTAAATTGAACATTTCATCTAATTTGGTTGAATAATCAGTATTAAAAAGTATATGTCCTTCTAGGTGGGTTCAGATTTTTTCACTTCATTCCTGGCAAAAGCATCACCGTTTTTGTACACACCATCACTTTTCAGCTCATCTTATTAATTTTATTTATAGTTTTTTCTTTGAGAGATTTTTGCTATAGGGCGTGTGCACTTGCTAGAGAGACAGAGACAGAAAGTGGGAAATCACCCCTCAGTGGGGATGACCACACTTCAATCCATTCTCCATTCTCCTCATGGGATATGTGCACACATGTCCCCTATGTGTTTCAAGCTGCTGGGTCTGGGACTTATACTGTGGTCAACTACATGGGGAGTCCAGCAACGTAACTATTATGCCATCTGCTGGTCCCAAGTTACTACTATTTTAAAATTTTCTATAGGGCACAAGGAATCACCAGAGATAGATAAAGATGAAAAATGAAAAACAAGCCACCTGGCCCAGGACTCATTGTGGTCAGCCACATGGGAGTCCAGTGCCTTACTACCACACTATCTGCTGGCCTCCATCTCTTTAACTCTCTTACTATGATTTCCTTGATTCCCCTTGCCCCTCTCAGAGAACCACTGTATTCACCTTTGTTAGCTCCTAAATTTGTCTTAAGAGGCTTTTTTTTCCCCTCCTAGGCCACTTCTACCTGTGTGTGAAGATCACCATAGCAGATATCTTATGTTACAGATTCCCATTTCAGACTCTTAAGTTTCTATTAACAACTGATGGATCTTTCATACTTATTATAGTTAATAAAATTAATGACTCAACAGCTCTTTAACCTACTTCTACTTATCTCAATCTCTCAATCACTTGGTTGCCTAATTTTTTTTTTTTTTAACTTGCTGTAGGATGCATATACTTGGGGTGAGGGGATAGTAAGAAAGTACCTCCCCTGGGGCGGTGACCTCATGGCAATCCCTTCTCATCCATTCTCTTCTCAGTGTTTTGGCACACGTGCACAAGTCTCTGCCTGTCTCTCAAGCTGCCAAGTCCAGGACTCAAATTGTGCTGTTGGCTATGTGGGATCCAGCCACTTTGGTTGCTTAATATTAACAATAGAAGATCTCTGGTCCAGAAGTGATGTGCTGGCTAAGGCACTGGATTCCCACATGGTTGAGCATGGTTCAAGTCCTGGACCTGGTGGCTTGAAAAATCACGCCAGGTGCATATGCGTGTGCATACCCAAGATCCCGAGAGGAGGAAGGATGGAGAAGGAATTGCTGCATGGGGAATGATATTTCTCTCTCTCTCTCTCATGCTTGCACACACACCCTACTGCAAAAACCTTAGGGGAAAAGAAAAGGATTACTTTCTTTCAGAACATTCAGTTATTGGGGCCAGTAGCTGTTGTGGTGGTGAAGGTGCTTAGACTTCCACAGGGTCAACCACAGATTGAGTTTGCAGTTTGAGTCCTGGACCTGGCAGCTTGCTTTCTCACTTTCCCTCTGCATTTCTGTCTCTTTGTCTGGTGAGCATATGGGCCCTGTAACACAACTTTTTTTTTTTTGAGAGATTTTCACTGTAGGGCGCGTGCGCTCGCCAGACAGACAGAGACATAGAGACAGAAAGCGAGAAATCACCCCCCAGGGGGGATGGTCACGCCGCAATCCCTTCTCCTCCATTCTCCTCTCGGGATCTTGGGCACGCACGCACACGCGCCCGGCGTGAGTTTTAAGCTACCGGGTCCGGGACACGAACCGCGGTCGACTACGTGGGAGTCCAGCGACATAGCCATTACGCTAACTGCTGGTTCCCAACACAGTTTTTTTAAAAGTAAATAAAATTGAATAATTCTGTAAAAAAATACAGTTATAAGTCCTATCTATATCTTTTAAATAATTTTGTCCCTTTCAATCTCTGTGCTATGGCAGGTCCTCATAATTTTTTTTCTACATTGACACATCAAACTCCATGGGGTTGGCAGGTGGCGTGGTGGTTAAAGGCACTGGAGTCCCACATGGCTGACTGGTTCCAGTCCTGGGCCTGGCAGTTTGCTTTCTCACTTTCCCATTCTCTCTGTCTCTCTCTGGTCAAACTAAAAAAATAGTAATAATAAATGGAGTTAAATAAATAATTATTTTAAAAACTCATAGGTATTTTCCCTTCTTCCAAGCTTAAAATACACCAAAGTTGGGGCCAGCAAGTATAGTGTTTAAGGTGGCTGGGTATCACATGGTTGACTACGCAATTTGAGTCTTGGAATGGCTGGCTTGTGTGTGCATGTGTCCAAAATCCCAAAAGGAGAATGAAGGAGAAGGGAGAAGGCATGACTGTCCTCTTTGGGGGGTGATTTCTCACTTCCCCTTTCTTTGGCAAGTGTACATACTCTATGGCAAAAAAAACTAACAAAGAAAACCAAAACAAATAAAAAATCACCAGAGTTATATGGAAAATGAAACTATTATATCCCTTCCTGTCCACTTAAATCAGTTGCTCCATGGGCAGGTAAAAGATGAAATTCTTGTAATGGCATGATGGTTACGTTATTGAACTCTCATGTGGTCAAATGTGTTTTGAGTCCTGGACCTGGTGGCTTGAAAAGTCATGCTGGGCACGTGTGTGTATGTGCCCAAAATCCCAAGAGGAGAATAGAGGAGAAGGAATTGTGGGGCAGCCATCCTCTGAGAGGTGATTTCTCACTTCCTCTCTTTTCATTCCTCTCTGTCTCTCTGGTGAGCATACATGCCCTATTCACGTGCACTGTAGCAGATATTTCTTTCTTTAAAAAAAAAAAAATCAGATTCTTTAGAAAGGTATCCAAGGCTATTTGAGGTCTGTTTCCAATCTTAACAGCCTATTGATCATAGCTTCTTATTTACCTTTGCTTTGCAACACACTATTTTTTATCAGTAATGATCATATCCACTAGTTAATGTATATCTACTTTATTCTAGCTTCTTATTAGGGATATGATATTTCTTTTTTTTTTTTTTTTTTGAGAGGTTTTTGCTGTAGGGCGTGTGTGCGCACCAGAAAGACAGAGAGAGAGACAGAGAGACAGAAAGTGAGAAATCAGAGAGAGACAGAGAGGCAGAAAGCGAGAAATCACCCCCCAGGGGGATGGCCATGTCGCAGTCCCTTCTCCTCCATCCTCCTCTTGGGATCTTGGGCACACACACACGTGCCCGGCGTGAGTTTAAGCCACCGGGTCCGGGACTTGAACTGCGGTCAACTACGTGGGAGTCCAGCGACATAGCCATTACACTAATTGCTGGTCCCAGGGTATGATATTTCTGATTCTCACAATTTTAATGCAAAGTAAGAATTTTTTTGTACCTGTTTTACAGAAGAAACCAAGGCCCAGATTAGGAGCTAGAGATAATTTATGCTCACAAAGAATTTATGGCTCACTAAGACAAAGTTAAAAAATCAAATACACTGTTAAAAGATACTGTATTTAGGCCAGCCCATGGCCTGGTGGTTAAGGTGGCTGAATCCCACATGACCAACTGTGTGGCTTGAGTCCCAGGTCTGGTGGCTGAAAAACATGGTGGGTGCCTGTACATGCCCCAAATCCCACCAGGATGAAGAAATGGAGAAGGGATTGTGGTATGACTATGCCCCAATCTCTCTTTCCATTGTCTCTGTCTGCACATGCCCTCCAGTTAATAATAATGATAATAGTAACTAAATTTGAGGCTTTTACAATTTTTGAGTTATTTACTAAAGTGGGAGAACAAAAGTGAGTAAACTAAAACAAGGTAAGTTGCAACAAAGTGCCAAGAGTCTAAAGTAGCCCAACAACAAGAAACAGTGCTCTTGGCCTTTTCTTTCTGGTAACTTGTTCTCTTCTTTGTCTCATTAAAGAATAGGAATACTGGACCCAACAGACAGTGTAGTGGTTAAGGTCCTGGACTACCACATGGGCCACAGTTTGAGTCCTGGACCTAATGGCTTGCTTTTTCACTTTCTCTCTGTCTCTGTCTGGTCAAATTAAAAAATAATAATAACAAAAATAATTATAAAAAAGAATAGCAATGCTAACGAACCACATTTTGTCTTATTTTTACACACTTTTTTATGATGTAACCCCTACATTCTGTTCACATCTTTCTAAATAGTTCCTTTATCAAAGTCTCTTCAAATTATCCTAGTTTGAGTATGTCACTGATTCTTGCTGGAACCCATGAAAAGAGGTTACATTTTATCCTATAGTGGTTATTATGAGGAGACACTTAGAAATTGTAAGAAAGGGAGATATGTGATGAAATTTTTTTTTTTTCAGATAGATCACTGGCAATGATATGAAGAGGGGATTAGAATGGTATTGTAATACTATTGGGTAGTTGGGAAAGTCATGATGCAGTTTTGCATAGAAAAAGAACACCATAACTTTCCTGACGACCAAATAAAAACAAAGAAGAAAGTATGGGCTTAAAATGGGCTGGTGAAAGTGGAGATGGATTGAAATTTAATGATATTAAGGAAAAAATTACAGGTCTTGGTCACTGATTGGGAATTATGTTTGATGAAAAAGGAATTAAAAATGACCCCTAAGTTTATGACTTGAGTGATAGCATACAAGATGATACAATTGAACTTGACTGGGAGAGATAACTTATGGATACTTAAAAATTCTGGGAAGATATCTAAAGGTTTATATCTAAGACCTAGTTATATATATATATAGTGACACATTGATAGAACCTTTTGTGATGATAGAACTGTTCTATTTCTATGCTCTCCAGTATGTTTCTCAGTAGCTGGACGGATCTGTTGTGTATTAAGAATATAGTTAGTTAATTCATTAGAAATGAATTAATTTTTTTTGGTCAGACGACACATACACTCTCCAGAAAGAGAGAATAGGGCATGGTCACACACAATCCTTTCTCCATTTCTTTCTCCTTTTTTGAGATTTTGGGCACATACATACATGTACCCACCAGGTTCCTCAAGGGACCAGGTCTGGGACTTGAACTGCACAGTCAACCATGTGGGATCTAGCCTCCTCAACCACCAGCTGGCTTGAATTTTTATTTTACTTTGTTTTTAGTTTTCTAGATGGTACATGTGTTCAACTGAGCAGAACAGAGAAAAAGAGAAAGTGAGAAATCATTCTCTAGGAGGATAACCACACTGCAATCCCGTCTCCATTCTCTTGGGATTCTGGGTATGCATGCACACTAGCCTGGTGTGTTTTTCAAACCACTGGGTCTGGAACTCAAAACTGCACAGCCATGTGGGATCCAACTGCCTTAATCAGAAAACTACCTGGCTGGCCCCTGAATTTTTAATTTGATTTTGATTTAATTAAATGGTTGCATGTGGCTAGTGGCTACTGTATTGAACAGTGCTGGTAAAGAGCTAAGAATAGATTTTTTTTTTTGGATTTTTATAAGGTTGAGATATAAGAATAATATTTCATGACATGAATATTATATAAAATGCAGATTTTAGTATCTACAAATAAGATTTTATTGAAACATCAATGTGTGTTCATTTATGTATAGTTTATGACTGTTTTCTTGCTGTAGTGTCAGAATTGAATAATTTTGACAGTGACCATGTGGCCCACAAAGCCTAAAATATTTGCTATCTGGACCTTTATTAAATAGTTTATCAACTCCCAGTTTACAGTGTTAAAGGAGGAGTCAAGGTTGTAAACGAAGGCTTGAGAATTGTCAGTAAATAGTTGTTAATAAATAGAAATGAAGAGAACAGATGAGATACCTAGAGAAAGTGTATAATACTGATTTGTGAGAGAAGGTTTAACTTATGGAATCCTAAACTAACATTTAAGAGGCAGAGAGGAGGCATCAGCAATTGGCGTAATGGCTATATCGCTGGACTCCCATGTAGTCAATCATGGTTCGAGTCCCAGGGCTGGTGGCTTAAACTCACGCCGGCCACGTGTGCATGCGTGCTCAAGATCCTGAGAGGAGAATAGAGGAGAAGGGATTGTGGTGTGGCCGTTCCCTCTGGGGGGGTGATTTCTCACTTTTTGTTTCTCTGTCTCTCTTTCTGGCGAGCGCATACGCCCTATAACAAAAAGTTCTCCAAAAAATAAAAAAGAGACAGAGAGGAAAGAGAAGCCATCGGACTAAAGAAGCTAAAAGTCATTCAAGGATCCTGGTAGAGAATTCCCATGGAAATCAGAGAGAGTAGGGTAAACAAGCACAGTCATTGTTTTTAGAACTTTTATGTGCCAATGCTAGGCTGTTTATGTACATTCTTCCAAATTTTATAATAACCTTGTAAAATAGGTGTATCAGTAGATAAATACCTAAACAGGGAATTGAAACAAGTAGATCTAAAACCTTCTTTATGATACCGTTTACGTAGGAGGGGAGAGTTTCATATGAAGACGGTATCATATGAAAACTGATTTAATAATTACTATATGAATAAAACATATCTGAGGTATTTGAAGATCAGAAAGTGATTTATGATTTTAGCAAGAGTGGTCTCAATGAATATCTAAAAATATCCATATTAGCATATTTTAGTGAAAGTTTGATTATTAACAATGTCATTAAATTTGTCACAAAGTTATATTTTAAAAACAATTGACAGATGAACTGTTGTAGAAAGTGAACATGGTATAAATTGTAAGAATTAATGGATCATTGTGTAATTCTAATCATTAAGGAGTGATACTTTTTGAAATTTAGGTTCCTACTTTGGAAACAAAAGATCATATGCAGGAAATACAGTTACATCAAATTTTACTTTTGGTACAAGCTCATCTTCTGCACGAGATACTTATTATCCTCAGATACTTAAAACTCCACTGTCCACTGGAAATCCCCAGAGATCAGGTTATAAAAATTGGACACCGCAAATGGGATATTCAGGTAAAATGTAGTAGATTAAAGTAGGTGATCTTTTGAAACTTTTAAAGATTTGTCTTTTATGTATTAGAGTGGTTGCGTTTATTTGAAGTTATCTATAATTGATATGTATGATTGAAAGATAAATACATTAGTTTACCCATATTCAGAATTTGAAAATTGGCTGGTAAGGCTACATAGTTTCTTTTTTTCTTCCTTTTTTGAGTATTATTTGTATTTAATTTTACTTATTATTACTATCATTATTTTTCAAATATGCTATAGGGCACATGAGTGAGAGAGAGAGAGAGAGAGGGAGCGAGGGAGCAAACTACCTGGTCCAGCACTCAGATCACAGTTGGCCATGTGGGAGTCCAGCATCTTAACCACCACGCCACCTGCTGGCCCAGGCTACATAGTTTCTGATGTTATTTGTTAATAAATGCAGGTTTTTATTAACCTTCTTACAAAAAAAAAGCACAAGGACTAGAAAGCTGCACCTTTTATATATGATGATCATTTAAATCTAAAACTTGATTTTGATAATGCTGTTGGTTTTTTTAAGAGAGAGATTTTTGCTATAGGGAACGTGTGCTTGCTGGAGAGACAGAAAGCAAGAAATCCCCCCCCGGGGGGGGGGATGGCCACACCACAGTCCTTTCTTCATTCTCCTCTCAGGATCTTGGGCATGCATGTACACACACCTGGTGTGAGTTTCATACTGCTGGGTCCAGAACTTGAATTGTGGTCGACTATGGGGGAGTCCAGTAACATAACCATTATGCCATCTGCTGGTACCATATTGTTGTATTTTTAAATACTTAAATTTTAACTTTTATGTGAATGTACTAGATTTTTAGAAGAGAAATTTTATGGAAGAAATAAGTTTTTATGTATAACAATTTTCTTAACAATATAGCAACAGAATTTCTTGGTTATTGGATGTACAACTGCATACATTTATATAATGATACTTTTTAAAAGTAGTTTCATTAATGTACAGTCTTACTAACAATATATGAGTGTCCTCTTCAACATTTGGTATTGTCAGATTCTTAATATTTACCATCCTAAGAGTTGTAAAACACTATCAAACTTTAGTATGAATTTGCATTTTCTTTTTTTATTATTATTTATTTTCATTTACATTTTTTAATACATTCGATCACATTATTTAGCTTACAAGGTGATCATTTCAATATATGAACATTTCTCCCCAGTCGAGTTGATCAAAATATAACAACACTACCTCCCTCTCTCAACAATGCTGTCTTCATATCCCTCCTCCAAATGTTCTTCCCCAGGCCCCACTCCTCCACACACACCACATCTGGCATTCACATCCATGTCTTGTGTTTGAACATCCTTTAGCCTGAATTTGCATTTTCTCAGTTAGTAATGAGGTTATCTTTTTGTGTACTTTTGGCCAGATAGTTTTAATTTTTTGTTAACGAATGTTCATGTCTCTTGATCACTTTTCTTTAAGTTTGTGTTTCTGAATTTGTAGTAATTCTTTACATACCTATATAATTCATACATACCTAGCTTTGAATTATTTTCTATATTTGTTTCTATATTTCTAGCTCCTTTTTTTTCCTTAATTGCCTGAGAGTATGTGCACTTGTCAGAGACAGAAAGACAGGGAGAGGGAGAAAGCATGCCCCTTGGGATTTTTGGCATATGTACACACACTAAGGTATTTTCTACGCTGCAGAGCAGGGACTTGAGCTATAGTTGACTATGTGGGATCTGCCTTCCTCTAACCACTAGGCCATGGGGCCAACCCTCTAGCTCTCTTTTAAACCTTCATGAGTCATTATAACTCTCTCTCTATGCCAGTGTTACACCATATTAAATAATAATAAATCTTGATATCTAGTAGGATAGCCCTCTCACTGTTACCTTCCAGAAGCCACCTTATTTTTCTTCTTTAAAAGAGTCTTTGTTCTTCTTGGTCCTTTGCTTTTCCATTTAAATTTTGGGCCAATTTATCAAGTTCTACCAAAAAATATGTTGAGATTTTGATGAAATTGTACTTGTATGGAATCAGATTTTTAAAGGGAGAATAGAAATACCCACTTACTTAAGTCTAATTTATGGCTTTTCCATAATGTTTATAATTTTTTATTATAAATATATATTTTTATTAAATTTGTTGCTATGGAATCACATAATTTTTGTGACTATTGTTATCTTTAAAAAGTTTTTATCATTAATTATACATTTAATCACTATACATCATTTAGATTGTAAAGAGACTTTATCTAGCATAATATACACTTCAGTCCAGCCCAGTTGAGAATACTATACACATCCTCATCAACAGATAATAAACCATATCTGTGTCCCACAAATATCTTACCTCTTTATTTTTTTCCCCAAATTTCCTTTCCTATGCTCTTCCCCTCCCACACCTTTCCACTTTGTCTCTACTGTTCATAACAATTTTTAATGCTTTTATGTCCTCCAGTCTTTCAATTTCTACCAGACTGAGGACATTTAGTATATGTTAAGTGGAGACATACAATGTCTCTTTCATAGCCTGACTTGCTTCACTCAGCAACAAATCTTCCGTATTTGTCCACTTTCTATCAAATTCCAGGACCCTTTTTTTTTATGGCTGAGTAGTATTCCATGGAGTATATGTGCCGAAATTTTCAATCCATTCATCTGTTTGTGGACATTTGGATTGATTCCATGTCTTAGCAATCATGAATAATGCTGCAGTGAATGTAGATGTGCAAGCGCTTTTCTGACTGAGTGTTCTCCTGTCCTTTGAGTAGATACCCAGAAGTGGAATTTCTGGATCATATGGTAGGTCTATTTGAAGGTATTTGAGGAACCTCCATATCGTTCTCCACAGTGGCTGAACCAGTTTACATTCCCACCAACAGTGCAGGAGTGTTCCCCTTTCACCACATCCACTCCAGCACTTACCTTTTTTTTTTTAATTTCGCCATTCTGACTGGGGTCAAGTGGTATCTCATTGTGGTTTTGATCTGCATCTCCCTTATGGTGAGGGATGTTGAGCATTTCTTCATATGCTTTCTGGCTGTTCATATGTCTTCCTTATTTTCAGCTCATTTTCCCATCTTTTAATTAGGTTAATCTTACTCTTCCTGGTAAACCTCTTGAGTTCCCATTATCTTTTTTTAGAGAGTTTTTTTTTTTTTTTTCTATAGGGCACGTGCGCTTGCCAGACAGACAGAG